ATCTTCTATAGAAATTCTTATTAAGACACTAAGAGACAAGAAAGATAGACTATCCAGGAAAGAAGGGAAATCATTTGCATTGTTTAGAAAGTATTCCACTGAATCATGGCCTCTCATTCCCAAGATTGGAGGACATTGCAAGTGGGATTCTGAAAAAGGGCCAAAGGTCATGACCAGGATGTCATTGTTATGTGCTGTCCAGTTCACCAGGACACACAGTGACCCTGTCAACAACAGATCTGGACCTTGCCCTATACCGTGCCATCCTGGTGATCTCCACCATTCTCAAGCCCTTTGTTACCGTGGCTGTGTCAGTCTATCTTGTTGGGGTTCTTCCTCTTTCTCCCATCATGCACCTTTCCCAACATGATGTCAGTTTCTAAGGACTGGCTCCCTCTGAAAACCCACCCAAAGCAGGTGAGGTGAAGCTTCACTGTCATTGCCTCTGAGGCTGTAACTTGATTACTCAGCACAGCTATGATTGAAACACACAATTCTTACAAGATTACTCCTGAGATTTCAGCCACAAGTCTACCTGACGGCTTAAACGATGACTCATGGGAATCACTAAGCAAATGTTGTTGGTTTTGTTATGTTCTGTCCAGTCGCTTGCAATTCATAGTGACCCTATGTACAACAGCTCTAAACCTTGCTCTGTCTTGAGCCAACCTCATTGTCTCTGATACACCTACCCTCATTACCCTAGTCACTAAGTCAATCCATCTTATCCAGGGTCTTCCTCTCTTGTGTGGTCCCTCCACCCTTCCAAGCTAATGTTCCTCTCCAAGGACTGGTTCTCTCCTTGCATCATGTCCAGAGTACGTCAGATGGAGTTTCAAAATCCTTGGCTCCATGGAGCAACCTGGTTTCACCTTTACCAGGATGAAACTGTTTTGTTCTCTTAGAAGTCCATGGTATATTCAACACTCTTCTTCAGCCCACAACTCAAAGGTATCAATTCTTCTTTTGTCATCCTTAGTCATGTCCAGCTCTCTGATGCATAGCAAGTAATTGTGAAGACTGTGGCTTGGATTAGGCACACCTTAGTCTTTAGACTGACATCATTGTTTTTCAGTACTCTGGAGAAGTCTCTGACAGCAGATTTTCTCAATGTAATTTGTCTTTTGATTTCCTGAGTACTGGTACCAAGAGTGTTGATTGTGCCTTAACCAAATTCCTGGATACTCCAACAAAACACTGGGTGGAAAACCCTTCCTTAGCTCACCTACCCTTCCAGGCTTACAGGTCTTAGAAACTTTCAAGTGGCATCTGAAACCCTATCTAGATTCAAAGTTGCACAAGAACTCTGCTACAGACCTCACTACAAGGTGGAACCAGTTCCAAGGCAGTGGTGTGGTTTTGTGTTGTTGGTTTTTTTGTTTTGTTGTTTCTTGCTGTCTATTGTCTTTCTTCAAGGAATAATTGTGTGGTATACAAGACTTTATTTTGGAAATGTAATAAATACTCAGGACTGACATTCATACATATATACATACATGTTGTTGTTTTTGTTGTTGTTGTTATGTGTCGTCGAGTCGCTTGCGACTCAGTGACCCTATGTACAACAGCCCTAAACCCTGCTCTGTTCTGTGCCAATTGCACTCCTCTGACACACCCATGCTGATTACCCGTCACTGAACCAATCCACCTCATAGAGGGTCTTCCCTCTTTTGCCGTCCCTCCACCCTCCCAAGCATGATGTCCTTCTCCAAGGACTGGTCCCTCCTTACAACATGTCCAAAGTATGTCAGATGAAGCCCCAGAATCCTTGCCTCCAAGGAACAACCTGGTTTAACCCTTTCTGGGATGAATCTGTTTTCTTGGCAGTCCAGGGTACATTCAATACTCTTCTCCAGCACCACAGCTCCAAAGGCATCAATTTTCTTTCTATCCTCCCTAGTCACTGTCCAACTCTCTGATACATAACAAGTGATAGCCTGTATCAGACACAGCTTAGTCTCCAGAGTGACATCATTGCTCTTCAGTACCCTGGATAGGTCCCTAACAGCAGACTTTCCCATCGCAGTATGTTTTTTGATTTCCTGGCTACTGGTGCCAAGAGTGTTGACCATGGAGTCAAGCAGACTAAAGTTATTAACAATCTCAATCTCTTCACTATCCATCCTGATGCTGTCAATTGGTCCAGTGGTGAGTATCTTTGTCTTCTTGACATTGAGCCTCAATCCATACTGAAGGCTGCAGTTCTTGACTCTCTGCAGCAAGCATTTCAGGTTCTGCTCAGTTTCAGCAAGCAGGGTTGTGTCATCTGCATAACGCAGATTGTTAATAGATCTTCCACCAATCCTGACTCCACACTTCTCCTCATAGAGCAAGGTAGCCATGATAAGGCACACAAGTAAGATTTCACATTCATTTGTAACAGGGACTTAAAATTAACAATTACAACAGCAAAATTAGTTCAATGGTTAGAGGCCAACTCTCTAGACTTCAGGCTTTTACTTTTAACAAATGGTCTCTGGAGGAAGGCTGAGTCACAGACTCAGTGAAAATAGCATTAGCTTCCTTGTAGTTAGGATTCAAGGTCAGCTGTAGCAAACAGGATCTTTGGTCTATCATTGTCTTTTTCTCAGTGAGTGAACAGAGATTTAGAGCTTATGCATCTGAAAGCTGGACAATAAGGATGATAGACAAAGAATCAATACCTTTGTTCAAAATGTTGAGTACTGAATATCCCACAGATTATCAAATAAACAAACAGATATGTTTTGGAGAAGGTACAGCTAGAGTGCTCCTTGGACATACATATAGATGATTAAGCTTTGTCTCACATACATTAGGCATGTTGTAAGAAGGGGATATTCCTTGGAAAGGGACATCATGCTTGGAAAGGTAGAAGGTTGGCAAAAGAGAAGGAAGACCCTCAACAAGATAGATAGATAGATAGATGCAGAAACTGTGATAACAGGCTCAAGAGTGTCAGAAATGATGAGAATGACACAGGATAAGACAAGGGCCAGATCTGTCTTTCATAGGATTGCTATGAGTTATACTTGACTCGGTGGCATCTAACAACAACAACAATGAAACATAAAGAACTATCAAAATGTTCTCTTGACATTTCCTAAAATTACCACTTCTATACCAGCTGCTCTGCAGGAGAAAGATGGCAAATTTCCTCTTGTGAAATTTCCTGCCTGTGAAAACACACTGGAGGGTCCCCTATGGGTTGGTTTTAACTTGATGGTACATAAGAACAATAGGGATCTCTGAGGGACATCTAGTGTCCTTGTGGCAAGAAGCTGCACTTCAATCTTGAAGGCACGCAGTTCAAATCCAACAGCTGCTCTGCTAGAAAAGGAGGGAATTACACTGTTATACCTAAAGCTTCTTTGGCTGTTTGAATTCAAAAGTAGCTTCATGGAAGATAGATAGACAATCTCCTTCAGTGCAATTTATAGCCTTGGGAAACTCCCTGGTAGGTCAATGAATCAGTTTCAGTTTTACAACAATAAGTTAGATAATCAGATATATTGCTAGGTGTCAGTGAATTGATTAGGACTCATAGCAACTCTATGAACAGATGCCATCCTCATCTTCTCCATCATGCTCAAACCTATGGTTACAGTCACTGTGTCAATCCATCTATTGAAGGTCTTCCTCACTTTTATGAATGAGCCTTCTTTCCTCAGTTAGATGCCACTGCCAGAGAATTGGTCTCTCATGAAAACATGTCCAAAGTATATGAGACAAAGTTTCATTATCCATGTCTCCAGTGGGCTTCTTTGGAGCATTTTGGTTGCACTTCTAAAATAGATTTGTTTGTTCTTTTGGCAATGCATGGGATATTCAATACTATTTACCAATACCGTAATCTAAAAGTATTGATGCTTTCTTAGCTTCTTTATTTCATTGTCAAACTTTCACGTGCATATAAAGCAATGTGAAATATTTTGCTTGAGTCAGGCCCACTTAGGTCTTTTTTTTTTTTTAGACTGTAGAAATCCTTTATTAGCATTTAAATGGCAGCAGCTGTGGAATCGAAAAGCATAGTTAAAAGAGCCTTCTCTGCATTTTGAACTTAAAAGATTTTACACAAAAGGTTATTTGCCAGTTTATAAAATTTCAACAGCCTGGGCTGCCCTCTCTTCCCACAACCCTTTCTCCTCTCTCCACTTTTTTTTTCTTTCCTCTTCTTCCACAGTGATTAAATCTGTAAAGGACGCGGTCTCCATGCACTTAGTAATGCTAAAGGCAAGAATTGACCGGATCCATTTGACAACACAAAGATGCTCTCCCCTCAAACTGTGCATGAGCCCACTTAGGTCTTTAAACTGACATTTTTGCTCTTTTACATTTTAAAGAGATACTTAGTAACCGCTTTGAACATTGAAACACATCTTTTGATTTCTTGACTGTTGGTACCATGGATGTTGATGATGTTTCTAAAAAATGATTGACAACTTCAATATTTTTCTCATCTATAATCATAGTGCCTATCGGTCTGACAGTGAGATATTTTCATTTCTTTCTTGTTGTTGAAATGTAATCCATATAGAAGGCTTCAAATAAAAAAGAAAAAAATCTTCTAGTAGTCCATAGTTGACCTAGAACTTCATATCCTAGAAGATTCTAGGATTGTGTAGATGTTCTTAATGAGGAATTAACTTTTGCATCTCCTATTACAGAAAAACAGCCCTTAGCTGACTGTCCTGTGGGTTTTCAGAGGCAGTTATTCACCTGGGAGGAGATTGTTCATCCTTCTCCCATGGAGCCGCTAGTGGGATTCAAACCACATGGCTTTGGGTTTGCAGTGCAGCTTTTGATTTATCTGTTTAAATAGTGTTCCTTTTTTTTTAAGGCACTGGGGTTTTATCCAGATTTCCTTCTTTCCAAATTACTTTCAGCAGTTTCTGTTGTTATGTGCCATCGAGTCACTTGCAACTCACAATGACCCTATGTACAATAGCTCTAAATACCATTCTATCCTGTGCCAGCCTAGCCATCTCAAACGCACTCATTCCCACCACTCCAGTTACAGAATCAATCCATCTTATCGAAAGTCTTCCTCTCCTTTGCTGCCCCTCCACTCTGCCAAATATGATTTCCCTCTCCAAGGACCAGTCCCTCCTTGCAACATGCCCAAAGAATGTCAGATGAAACTTCAGAATCCTTGATTCCAACTAGCATTCCAGCTTCACCTTCTCCAGGACAAACCTGTTTGTTCTCCTAGCAGTCCATGGTATATTCAGCACTCTTCTCCAGCACCACAGCTCAAAGGCATCAGTTCTCTTTCTATCATCCCTATTCACTGTCCAACTCTCAGATGCATAGCACATAATTGCGAAGACTATAGGCCGGATCAGGCACACCTTAGTCTCCAACCTGACATCATTGCTCTTCAGTACTCTTGAGAGGTCCCTCACAGCTGACTTTCCCAATGCAATTCATCTCTTGATTTCTGGCTGCTGTTACCAAGAGTGTTGACTGTGGAGTCAAGTAAACTAAAACTGTTAACTATCTCAATCTCTTCACCATCCATACTGATGCTGCCAATTGGCCCAGACTCTTTGTTTTCTTGATGTTGAGCTTCAATCCATATAGGAGGCTGCAGTCATTTTCAGCAGAGATTACAGAAATAATTCTGAACCATTGTCTACCAGCCCTGAGCTGATTCCTAATATTTAGGTACTGATTATTTTTGTTTTGTTTGAAAAATCAGTCTAACATCCAAAAGCTAGTAAGGAAGTAGCTCACACTCTGTCTGAGTCTTGGGGACTATTTTCAGAGTCATAGTCATATATTAAATACACTTGTGAAGACATTTTGGAATCTGTAAAACCAAAATCAATCCCATCACTGTGGTGGGTGGATTTCAACTGCCAACCTTTGATTTAGTAGCCCAACATATATATTATGTCACTAGAGTTCTTTTGAAAGTGATCTGATAGCATAGACTATAGAGAGCTTCACTACTACCTCAAGGGGTATATGTCTGTCTGGTGGTTAGAATCTACCAGGGACTCTTGAAGAAGAAGATAGATAATATCTTCTTGTATATTTAGTCTTGAAATCCCAATGGAAAGTCAACTCTGAGTTCTGAGTTGATGTCAATGAGTGAGAGAAGGCCTCTTTGGAAACTCTAAGCTTATAATTATTGTTGTGTATCATCAACCCACCATAGAAATAGAAATGTTGATGGCTAGACAATTTCAAGATCTATCCTAAATACAACATTGTGAGTGATAGGATACAAAGCAAATGCACACAAGAGAGACCTGTTAATACAACTATTATTCAAATATATGCACCAACACTTAAAGCCAAAGATTAAGAGATTGGAGATCTCTACCAGCTGAAAAGTTAGAAATTTATCAAGCATGTATTCAAGATGCATTAATAATTATTTGGGAACTGGAACTCAAAAGTTGTAAAGGAGAAGGGAATGGTAAGAAAGTACTGCAGAATGGTGACAGAAATAAACTGGAGTTAGAAAAATGATCGATTTTGTGTGCCTGATGATTTTTCTCACCCAGCAAATATCTTTTTTAAAAAGCACAAAGGGTGCCTTTACATGTGGACCTCAAGTGATGGACTGCACAGGAGTCAGATTGACTACATCTGTGGAAAGAATCGTCAGAGAACCACAATAACAACACTTAAAACAAGACATGCTGCCAATTATGGAACAGACCATCAATGATTCATGGGTAAACTCATATTGAAGCTGAAGAGAATTAAAATGAGTCCACAGGAACCAAATTACAATCTTGAGTCTGTCCCATTTAATCAAAGAACCATCTCAAAACAGGCTTAAGGTATTGAAGACCAGAGGAACTGTGGGAGGATAATATCAAGGATATTATTCATGAAAAGAGCGAAAGGTCATTATAAAGATGGAGGGGAAAGACAAAACCAAAATGGTGATGGCAAATTGCTTCTTGTCTCTTCAATGATTGGTTCTAATCTTCTGAAGAACCAGTGTTAAGAGGTTTTTATTAATCTTTTTCAAGGAAACTTGTTTTCCCCCGCATTTTTTATCTACCTGATTGTGCTCATGCAAAGCCTATTCTTGGGCCAAGCATCAGTCTTAGGAACAGAGCAGGAAAATACTGCATGATTCAAAATCAGTAAGAAAGTGCGTTGGGGATTCATTTTGTCCCCATAACTTTTCAATCTTTATGCAGAACAGATAATTCAGGAAGCAGGGCTTTATCAGGAGGAATATGGCATCAGGAATGGAGAAAGACTCACCAACAACCTATGTTATGCATTTGACATGACCTTCCTTGCTGAAACTAAGGAGAATCTAAAGCATTTGCTGTCAAAGGTCAAGGACTATAGTCTGCTATATGGATTGAAGGTCAATATGAAGAAAATTCTCACCACTGGACCAACTGGCAGCATCATGTTAGATGTAGAAGAGATTAAGATTGTTAAAGTTTTTCTTTGTTTGGTTGGGTTTTTTTAGTGGGTTTTCTTTTCTTTTATTATTAAATTTTATTAGTTTTAATGAACATTTACAGAGATTTTGGGTTTTCATTCATTCATTGTTGCACTGTTTTCTCCACCCTCCTCCCCAGTTTG